AAACGTCCGTGCCGTATAGCGTGAATAACCCTGTATACAAACCAGGGTCCTTAACCGAAAATAAGACGATCTAAGCAAACTTACCTATATCCAATGTTGCTTCATTTTGCCGCTACAGAGTGCAAAAGTTCTCAAATTAATAYAGTTTTTACCAAATAATTTCTAAACGCCTATATCGATTTTAACTTATTTTGAAATCAACAGTTACTACATAAATTGATGTATTTTGACGTAAGCGTGATCTTTTTTTAATGCTCAAAAATATAAAAAATTACGCTTGATTCGATGATAATTGTTCATAATTTTGTTACCCGCTGTAGAAATATTTTTTTTGCTTCTAGCTGATTAATTTTATTAACCCACGCATGTGAAGATTTGCACTCGTGTAATCGTGTATCGTGTAATCACATAAATGCGTTAATAATATAATATACTACTTGTTACGTACAATATTGTTTCTTCTACAACTATAGCGATTATTATTTTAATGATTATTTGAGTAAAAACCATTAGTTATAAACTTGAATACAGAACACAGGTAATGAAAATTTGTCATTGTCATCAGAATCAGTGGCAAAGTTGTGCCTTAAAATTACACATTTTATAATGAGTTCAAGCGATGATCTGCCATCTGATATCGAGGACGGCTTTTAATGTTGTTTCGGATCTTGTGCGAGAGAAACCACGGAAGAAATACCAAAAAAGATATTCAACTTAACAAGCGACAAAGGATTATTACTATATTTTAACAAAGTAAGCCAAAGAGATAAACCCTCATCCTTTTGGTGCTCGCGGTGCCTGCACTAGTGCGGTAATAATGGAGGTTTTCGATATAACGGCAAAAAGTGTCGTTTTTCGAGCGACGACTGCGTTTGATACACGAGACGAAGTTGAGGGTGTCAATCCGTCAGGAGTTCGAAAACCCGATTTTCGCCTTCGTATCGAACAACATTTTTTATTCGAATGGAAAACATAACATGAATCATAAGTTAAAATAAATAAAAATAACCAAAATTAAAAGGCATCAACTTCACATTTTAAATTTGATGTTGTTTTAGGAATGCCTATATTTGACACAAAGTGAACTGTATTTTATTTATAGTTATAATGACGACCACTGGGTTTTTTTATGATATTCTACTTTGTGCCTTTCGATAATCGAGTCTCCATCAACAGCAACTTTTTTGTTTACAAACAACAACCGTTGCTACTGATATCTCGAACTTCAATTATTTTAATTCAACTCACAACTCCTTAACAGATGTCAATGCCATTTTTAAAATTGTCGGGTTTTAACATTTGTAATTTTTCAAAAGCGTACTTTTGTAAGCAAATAAATACACCTGAAGCAATGAGTGTTGAAAATGAAGTGCTGCTTTCACGGTATGGTGTTTGTATAAGATGAATATTTTGCATAAAATTTGCGCTATTTTAAAAAATCGGGTTTTTCTTGTGGCAACATCGGAGAGCGCAGAAAAATAGACCATTTGGAGGACTTTGAGACTGAACTTGTCACAAAGTTATAATTTAACAATTGTAAGTAAACTTTAAAGTATAATCAATAGTTCTCGATAAACCTACGCGATTCATTAAAAAAGCATATTGGTTACTTTTTAATGAAAATACTTTTAAAAATATAATACTAGTGACAGGTTCAATTTGTTACATTTACTTTTGCGTACATGTGCGGAAAGGTCCGTGCGAAAAAGCAAAACAAAGGAACAGTAAAGAAAAATGCTTCTTTATGATCATTGCTTCTGATCGAAAAATGGCACTTTTAGATTCATTCGAATAAAAACATCATTATGACATTTGAAAGAGTGCCAAATCATAGTCATTATATAACAGCTGTACTTAGAATTAGTCAAAAACCGATATAGGCGTTTAAAAATTCGAAAAAAAAACAGCTTAGAAAATTAGTGCATTTATTATTAATTTCCATGTTTCTTGCCAGAATAATATAGGTAAATCTTCAAATACTACATTCGGTTAATCAAAATAAATTGGATTCTCCACAGTAGGTATCCAATGCAAGGGTAGATTCGAAACACCCAAATCCACAAAATCTCGAATGGAAACAATTCAGGAATTCATTTCGAAACTAGACAAAAAAAATCTACCAATGGTCTAATGGCAGACCCCCTTTGGGAACACCCACTTTAAGCAAAAACCCGGCTTAGAGAAAGACGAAATTTAAACACATTAACAATAAACAAGGCCAAACCACAGAACTAACTTCTTTCAAACTACCCACCACTTACCTTTTCTTTTTCAGTGGATCAATTTTGGTTTTTCTCACTCATTAATCTCAGGCAAATAATCCCCTTCCTCGCCCAGGCTTACTCATAGGCCAGCACTAAAGACTAAAAGCCTTAACTGGGTAAGTCTAAAAAACGTTCAACACGCACCGGAGAGGGATATGGAAGGCCACTTCTTCTGTTACCTCATGGCACGAGATAAAAGTTTACATCCGTTGCTTTGACTGATACTGAAATCGATCGTGGTATTCTACTCAATTTTTTTTCCAAAACTCCAAAATCCATACCAAAATGCGTTTGGAATGTGTAGCTTATTTACTTCCGAGACGTGCTTACATATTGTTCTATTTGTTGCCTACGTTTCGTAGCTCTTATATTTGTTGCCCACACTAAAGTGGACGGTACCGATTTAAAAAATGGTAGCACTTTCTACACGTGTAATGGACAATATTTTCCGTTTACGTGACTGGGCGTATGGAGATATTCATAATTACTGTCACCATTAAGTGTTAACCTTACGGATTTAGCTATCTCGAAAGTTAAAAAGCCAAAAAAAAGCTAGGTAAAGAATAAAAATGTTTTTTCAAAATCAAATTCAAAAAAGTGTTGTAATTTTTTGTCCGTCGTTATTTCTAGTTCTACCGGCTCTGTACGGCCGATCCTGATATAAAGACCGGTAGATACTTCGATGAGCTCCTCAGCAGGACTGGCAATGCAGCGAAACTTAACTATGCTGCATCTTTTGAGCTCACTGGTGCAGCGCTCAAGAATGGTCTTTTTGCGTACGTATTCGCGGAACCGTCAATAGTGGAAACCGATGAGGGATTGGCAGAATTTGAGGTAAGCTACACGGTCAACAATCTTTTCCCCTCTTTCCATTACGACGTTTTGCAGTTAAACCTGCCCTCGGTCATTGTAAATGACATGTATGAGAGGATGTGGCAGCCTCATAGACTCTATAAAATCAAGTCACTGATACATAGTTGGATGTCGCCGAAAGGCCTATTTAAAAATGGCAAATTGGAAAAATTTGCAATTGACATTCTAAATGTAAGTTGGTTATCAGTAGGGGAGAGTATTGCATCTTAGGGCAAAGGGCACATATGATTTAGCTATTGCCCCAAGTAATTTTAGATTTGTCTATATGTCTATTGATTATAATCACACCAAAGAATGTAATCTTCGATTCGAAATAGTGTACTTGCTGATGTAAATCACAGGTATCTATCAATCAATAATTATTCAGGATAGAGACATCAAAATTGGCGTCATTCCTCTGGAGGTGATGTCTGGGGGTCTTTTGGGAGTACAGGAAAAATACAAAAATAAATTAATTGTTATTAAAAACTCCGATATTTGCAAAAAAACTAGATCAGAAGGATGGCAATAATGTTTTTCAAGGTAATCTGCTTAACTAACATTACGTAAATACCTGTGATTTCTTAATTATTAAAGATTGTGGTAACCAAAAGAATTTACAATTAAATAATTTGAGGCTAGGATAACGTTGTCACTTTGTCGTGAGTGTTGCCAACACTCACTTTGCTAGTGAAAGTTCTTACAGCTTCTGCTATATTACTGCGGCATTTCCCCACAACTAATTGTATATCCGCAAATTTGTGAAAGGAGTTTCAACGTAAGTCACACTTTGACAAATTATTGTTAGTATTGGCAAAGGCTATTTACTTGTAACTATATGTTAATAACAAAATCCTCATTGCCACTTTGAATTTTCTATAAAAAAAATGTAGAAAAGTAGTTTTTTAATCTAAAATTTTTCGTAATTTGAAGCAAAGATCGTAGAATCAAGAAATCAACACTTTTTTAATATCATATAATTCGTAAACTGCTTAAATTAGAAAAAAAGTTAAAATTGTCTTTGGTAGAACTTTTTGCGTTGAGTTCAATAAACTAGCACTCGTTGTCATAGTCAACTTGATTTACGTAATAAAAAATAAACTTGTTTTTTTAAATGGTAATCACAGTTGGCTGTGGGCCTTTTAAAATCCTTATTTTTTTTTAATTTAACAATATAACTGTTTGCATGTTTTCCTCCTTTTGTTGGCGTAAAACTTCAAAAGAAGATAAAAAATGTAGTAGGCTATGGAAACAAGAACTCTATTATCACACAAAGCTCATATGTATAGCCTCTTAAAAAAATTACTCCCATTTTAAATCATCCTGTATAGTAAAGATAAAAACGGTCAAACGGAGTTTTTCAAGTGGAATCGAATAGTAGAGTTAGTTTTTTTGCTATAAGTTATGATTTTTAGATACAAGCCAAATTTAGATTTTTTTATAAGGCACACCATAGATTTTTACATATTTTAATTGGCATTTAAATGTCCCGCCCAACAATACACAGGGTAATTTTTTTATCTTTAAAACCACTCTGTATGACACACAAGAGTTTGTTCAAAATTGAACACAAAAATGAACTTAATATAAATCCTATGTCTTGTTTTTTTAGTAGGCCATGGCACTGAAGCATAGTTAGCGATACCTTTTTGTCTAGTTACTGTCAACATTTCATTCTAACGCAGTTCCATTGATTTTTTAAGTTTCTTGAAAGAACAATTTGATACCCGTGAATTTTATGACTTATTTTCGTGTTTGGTTCAGAGTGAGGAAAGCGTTAATGCGGCCTCTAAGCTCTATTGAAACCGGTAGGTATGACAGTGTTAATGTTATGCTTATTACACGTGAAAACCTTGTTTTATATCTTCGTAGCTTGATATTTCTATTTCCAGATATTCGAACTTAGAAACTTGTTCCACTATTTCTTCGCTAATTGCGATTTTGCATCGTAAGGGTGCCCTTCCTACTACGACCGATTTGGTCTTAGATGTTGATATCTACATATTGTAGGTTGCTTTAGGGGTATGCACCAAGCGTGGTAGGCTATCTCTATTATCCGAGATCAGAATTGCGTCGTCCGCATAACAAAGAATTGTTCCTTCTATCTTCTATGACCAAGAAATTCCTTGTATGGAGACCAACCATCAACAATATAGACTGGAGTCGCACAGACTATTGATGATAATTGTTTTCCATCTGGGAAAATCAGTTCTGAAGAATTGCTTTTTGCAGATGTTTTATCTTTGTATCTAGATGTTGGGGTCCGCAGCTTTTATTGCTGTGTTTGTGAGTGTTTGAACGATTTCTTTCATTTTATTTGAGTTGTTGTTGGACAGCTTGTATAGAGATCTAATGCCAGTATGGGTGTCCTTATGGTATACCTGAATGTTCTAAAAAGTATCTATATCTACAGCATGTTTATTGTGGACTTCTAGCTTATAAAAAACGTCAACTCTTCCAAATTCAACCCAGAACATGCTTGGTTGGAAAAACATTTTATAGAACGATCAACTGGAGTCAGTAAACCCAGGTATAAAATTAACCCCAAGATGGAACACTACTTGCACGATCTCAATGAGCTGCTTGGCAAAACTGACCTAAAGTAAGCAAACAATACACACATTGCATTATTATAAGCTAAACAATACTTTCCTCCACAGTATTGTTGTAAACTACTTCAAGATCATGGTAATCATTCACGATTGCATTTACCTCCCAGGTCGAGAAGTCAATGGATGTGCGGACTTCCATGGAATGAAACCGTTCAACGAAACCTGTTATTCCATTGCTAGAAACAGGTAAGAATGATAAAGCGCAAAAGGTTTCATACAAATATTTTTTGTACTACTAACCAGAGAAGTCATTATTATTTATTCCATTTCCCTAGTGAGACGTTATATTTCTCTATCGACGTCAATAAAAATAATAAAAAAGTCCCTAGGTTAATAATGAAAGATGTTTAGGTTTTCCATTATTTTCAGTTTACCCACCTCTATAAGTTCAAGAGAGATTCCAGCCATTTTCAGTTCTAAAACCACTGTAACTTTACCATTTACTATTTTTTCTCATTTCCCAGGAGTTTTTCATTGATTTTTTATCTGTTTTCTGGAGACCGAAAAACTATATTGCGGCAGTTTGACAACTGAAGGTCAGACTATCAAACATAGTGGTCAGACTATCAAACATAGTGGCACTTTTTTACACACTTTTTACCACAAATTTACTGGAAATTCCGAATTTAATTAAATCAATTTAAAAATGTATCCGTGTTAGTAGTAAAAAGAATTCTTCAGGGTGCTTTACAATGGGCGTCATTCCTCTGGAGGTGTTGTCTGGCGTTATTCTAGGAGAACAGAAAAAATAGTAAAAACAAATTATTGTTATTAAAAACTGAGAAATATGCAAAAAACTATATCAGAAATACGGCAGCAATGTTTTTCAAGGTAATCTGCCTAATTAACATTGCGCAAATACCTGTTGCTTTGTAATTATTTAAAACTCCGGTAACCATGGAATTATA